CAGCACGTAGGATGCATCCGTTGTATAGCCAGTGTAGGGACAGTGTATCGCTAATTCTCTACACCTCGCACTCTCTGATCCACCATTCCTCAGTCTTGTGTATTCTGCTACGTCCAGCACGTAGGATGCATCCGTTGTATAGCCAGTGTAGGGACAGTGTATCGCTAATTCTCTACACCTCGCACTCTCTGATCCACCATTCCTCAGTCTTGTGTATTCTGCTACGTCCAGCACGTAGGATGCATCCGTTGTCTAGCCAGTGTAGGGACAGTGTATCGCTAATTCTCTACACCTAACACTCTCTGATCCACCATCCCTCAGTCTTGTGTATTCTGCCACGTCCAGCATGTAGGATACATCCGTTGTCTAGCCAGTGTAGGGACAGTGTATCGCTAATTCTCTACACCTCACACTCTCTGATCCACCATCCCTCAGTCTTGTGTATTCTGCCACGTCCAGCATGTAGGATACATCCGTTGTATAGCCAGTGTAGGGACAGTGTATCGCTAATTCTCTACACCTCACACTCTCTGATCCACCATTCCTCAGTCTTGTGTATTCTGCCACGTCCAGCATGTAGGATACATCCGTTGTATAGCCAGTATAGGGACAGTGTATCGCTAATTCTCTATACCTCACACTCTCTGATCCACCAACCCTCAGTCTTGTGTAATCACTACGTCCAACATGTAGGATACATCCGTAAAATAATGATATTTTAATATTGACACACCAATAAATTGTACGGATAAACGTTCAGTGCAACGTATATTATTTGTTTTGGAAGTGTTGCTGGCTGAATTTGTTTTTAGTTCCATCCCAATTTTGTAATATTTATCATGTTGTCATTCATGCCATCCAATCTCCCCGGAACCGATCCCAAATAAATGACGCAATCTACCAACAAAGCCGTGGACCAACAACCGTCGAGCGATGCGAGCGACATGCCAACTCGGGACAGAGGTCAGATCAACTTCCTTGGCATGTTTAATGGGTCGAGGAATGCCTCAGTAGTTAACAAGGGGAATGTAACATGCCAAGATACATGCCAAGACATGCTAACAGAAATAATCACTGAGCAACATACAGAGGCGCGCCAGCAGTTGTAGCTTTGTACGACAAATTGGGCTGAGTGTGTGTGTGTGCGTAGGTGTGTCGCGTTTACTCACTGTTCGCTTCATTTAGTTGCGATTGAGTTGGATAATCTTTGTTAGCATTCTAGTTCTGTGTGCTGCTCGGATTGTAAACGCATAACTATTTACAATAATTTGCATACCAACAAAAATTGTTTATACGGTAAAAGTTGGTAAATTGTTAGAGTTAGAAATTCCTCTTACCTAATTAGCGAATGAGGAGGCTCGTGTGCTAAATAGAAAAATGTTTTTGTATAAATATTATTTTCACATGTTATAAATATTTTATATTAGATCTTGTATCCTCCGACTTTTGTCCATTTAATTTTTGAAGAGTTGAATAACATTTACCTAAATACTCCTGTAGGTAAAATTTAACTTCTTGTGTTTTATGTAGAGAATGTTCATGAATTTAATGTATGTAATTGAAGGGAATATAACTGAACGATTAGCCCATTTAAAACTGCGTACCGGATTATGTCAAATATTCCGTAAATAGGGATCCAGATTGTAAATAAAAACGTCCAAATTATTCTTCACTGTTTTTTATTTTATCTCACAGTTTAAATGAGAATATGCATTAACTTCAAAGAAACATCTGCTTCAAGTCGTCTCTGTCAATAAAAGAATATTGTACTTATATAGATTTTAAATCGTCTTGAATTAATTTGAAGATTGGTATGCCTATTATGAACGAATAAATTTCATCCAACGCTTAAGTATTATATTCTTTTAAAGATAGATACTTCAAGTCTAATTATGATTGCGACTATAATTTTGGGTTTGTCGATGGATTTTGTGTTTCTGTAAGCTCTCTGGATAGTTTTACTATTGGATTCACGTATAAGGCAAAGACCTTAAATTTTATTTTTATCGCTAAATGTAGTTGAATATAACCTTAAATATTAAATGTTATCCACAAACAGCCAAATCTTACATAAAGGAATTAAAAGTACTAAATGCCTTTATTTAGTTAACATTCATTATGTTTGATAGATACGTTGTCGATCTTGGACGGTACGTTACTCATACACGTTATTTGTACACACCTTCTAAATTAAACACTCATAGTAAAAATACATGTAAACCACATCCAAGTTACTAATAAAACTTGCATCAACGTTGACGTTGACAAGTTCAGCGCTGCAAAGCCAGTGACGTTTAATAACCGTGTCTGTACTGAGAGTGACGAACGTTATAATAGAGACATAAAACAATGAGTACAATAGCGAAGACTTAACAAGACTATGTGTACATTGTAAACGAGAAATGAACAATTCTCGCAGCGCGGTTTAATCCGTATTATCACGTATCGCGTCCCCGCACGCCGCGCCGCACTACTTTAATAACACCGCTACAATTTTTGCGACTCTTTTACGCCGGCTTACCATCCCGGACTCCATTCTTTTTTAACAGTATCCGTGTAGACTTATTTGCATACAAATAAGATCCCCCCGCGAGGGGTATTTGATCCTCGCCTTGACTTATTTCACCGTTCTAACCTTTATAAGCGGGCGAACCTCGAGCGCACTTTTAATACTTTTACACAGAGTCATTATACTTTACAATAAGCCCGTGTATCCTCATTTTTCCACCTTATTTTCATTAGGAGTTGAACGGGGGAAAGTCGCTTGGCGACAAAGTAGACGCCTCGGATAACTTTTCCCCTTCTTAAAGCTTTTACTCCATTTATATAGGGTTTGTAGACAAGAAAAAGTTTAACCCCCCCCCTCCCTCCCACCCTCCCACCCCCGCAAAGCCGACAGTGTTCTGCGAGGTGAAATTTAAAATAAGCTATAAAAATTAAGCCCGGACTCAAGCCTCGGTGTTGGTTTCATTACGGAATTGTGTCTTCATTACCCTTCAAATGTGATTGGACCTTTTATACACGGGTTGTGGAGTATTCAGAGTATTTCGTTTTAAAGTATTCTGATTGAATATTGCTGGAATTCTTTAAGGCTAGTATTGTGATTGCTAAGGTTTACGGTATTAGGTATACAGTATATTCAGTATCTAGCAAAGTAGTGGTTGGAATACCTGCAGAAATTAAAATTTGTGACAACTTAAGTGTACAATGTCGAGTGTCCAACATTGTTTGTATTAAAAACTGCATGAAATCATATAAAAAATGAAACTTTATTTAACTTATGACTTGCTTGTAAAACTTTAAAAAATACAATACCTACTTTTTTTGTTTGTGTTTTTACAAATATAAATTCAATCATATGTTAATTTACAAACAGTCTGTTAGGAGATTGAACATGCCGCCCACCTTGAAAGTACCACTTTCAACAAAATACAAAAAATAAACTATTAAAAAAAAATGTCTTATTGATTGTCTTTGGCCTTTTCAATTTTCAATTGGTAATACACACAGGCGATTTACAGATCTCTTGAATGTTCCTGTAGAGGTTCGCACTGTAGCCACTCTAGTTTTTCCATCAAGTCCAGGATGAACATCTTCAACAATAGCAGTAATCCATTTTAAAGGTGGTAGATTGTCATCTTTGATTATGACTAGTTGACCAGGTTTGATATTATTGGCAGTCGTGAACCACTTTTGCCTTTGTTGTAATTGAGAGAGGTATTCCTTGGACCAACGGCGCCAGAAGTGTTGCATAAGCTGTTGTAATCGTTGCCACTGTGATAGACGATTTTCTGGCTTAAATGTATAATCTGGATCTGGTAAACTTGTAAGTGCTTTTCCAATTAAGAAGTGACCAGGTGTTAGAGGAAGGGGATCTTTAGGATCATATGACAGAGGAGTTATAGGTCTTGAATTCAGGCACGCCTCTATCATTGTAATCACAGTATACATGTCTTCAAATTTGAGATTGGCGTTTCCCACAACCTTCCTTAAATGCTGCTTTACGGACTTAACTGCGGATTCCCAAAGCCCTCCAAAATGGGGTGAATTTGGAGGCGAGAAATGCCATTTGATGCCTTGAAAAGATGTAGCATTTATGATTTGTTCTTGATGATCATTACTTTTAAGAAGGGAGTAAAGTTCCTTTATTTCGTTATTGGCTCCAACAAAGTTTGTTCCGTTATCGGAATATATGTGGTTACATAAGCCTCTTCGAGATGTAAAGCGCTTGAATGCTGCTAAAAAGCCGTCAGTTGTTAAGTTGGATACTAATTCCAAATGAATAGCCTTTGTGGTAAAGCAAACAAAGACTGCAATGTAGCCCTTAATTAATGAAAACTTTCGAAGGCGGTTTGACCGTAAATATATCGGTCCGCAATAATCAACTCCTGTAATCTCAAAAGGCTGTGATGGATTCGTTCGATGTGCAGGTAAGTTTCCCATTTCAGGTTGTGTGCATTTCGGCTTTGTTTTAAAACATGGTATGCACTTATGGATGATTTTCCTTATAATGTTCTTGGCATTTAGTGGCCAATATTGTTGTCTTATGATGTATAGAAGTGTTTGAGGACCCACATGGAGATTGCGAATATGTTCATTTTCAATTATTAAATGAGTGAAATAGGATTTAGCAGGCAATACAATTTGGTGTTTTTGACTTTGATCTAACTTTGCGTTGGCTAGTCGACCGCCTACTCGAATGATTCCTTCATCATCCTTAAATGGATGAAGTGTTATTAGTTTGCTTTTCTTGTGAATTTGTTTTGATTTTGACAATGATTGTAGTTCTTGAGGAAAGAAACGTTTCTGTTCATGTTTTATCCAATGCTTAAGACTGTGGTTTAATTCATCGTGTGTTAGAGGTCCTGCAATCTTTGAATCTTGAGTTTTACAATTTTTTATAAATCTCAAACAATATGCGGTGACACGAATCAGTTTCTGTAACTTGGAAAACTTCTTCAGTATATAGTCATTATCTGTTTGTTTTTCATTTGATCGAACTATTGCAGCAGAAACTGTGGACTTTCTTCTTTCTGGAATGTCAGTTGAATGGAAGTAATTGGCCAGTTGCAAGGTTCTAACGATAACCAATATGGCCCTGAATTCCACAAATCAGATCTTATGATTTCGTCGACTGTTAAACCTCTGGATACGAGATCTGCGGGGTTGTCTTGACTTGGCACATGTCTCCAATCTTTATAATCACTTAGATCCTGGATCTTTGCAATACGATTTGCAATGAATGTTTTCCAGCATGCTGCTTCTGCATTTAACCAGGATAAAACAATTGTAGAGTCCGTCCAGTATGTAACCCTTTCAATATGTTTGTTGATAAGAGCGGTTTTGACATTTGACATTAACTCAGTTAGGAGTAGAGCTCCCCATAATTCCAATCTTGGAAGTGACTGTGTTTTCAGTGGTGTTACACGAGATTTTGAACAGAGAAGAGTAGTTTTAGCAGTTCCATCGCTTAGTTCGTGTCTCAAGTAAATTGCTGCTCCATATGCCTTTTCAGAAGCATCTGAAAAACCATGAAGTTCAAAAGTTCCCTCTGTTTGGATCATTCTTACACATCTTGATACATTAAAATTGCTGAGCAAAGTTAAATCCTGTTTGAATTGTAGCAATCTCTTGTGTAATTGTTCTGGGAGTACATCGTCCCATTTCATATTTTGTTTCCACAGGTCTTGCATGAGTATTTTAGCATTTATTATAATTGGAGAAATGATTCCTAAAGGATCAAACAGTTTTGCTATGTCTGAGAGCACAGTTCGCTTTGTTACACTTGTAGAAGCTGCCTTATTGTCTGTTGATAACATGTACTTGTACTTTATTTTGTCAGATTCTGCATCCCAAAAAATGCCTAAGGTCTTGATTGTGCTATCATTAGAGTTGGGAAGTTTATGTGCTTTTCTTTCCACAATATCATCTGGAAGCTCTGCTAAAAGTGCGTTACTGTTGCTGTTAAACTTTCGCAAATTGAAGCCACCACACTTTAACATACCGACCAGTTGATCTCTTAATACCCTTGCTTCATTAATGTCGTCTGTTCCTGTCAATACATCATCCACATAAAAGTCTTTCATCACTACATTGGAAGCTTGTGGATATTGTGATCTTTCATCTTGAGCCAATTGTTGAATAGTTTTGATTGCTAAGTAAGGAGCACATGCTGTTCCATACGTAACTGTATTGAGCCTGTAAATGAGGACAGGTTTTGAGTTGTCTTCTCTCCAAAGGATTCTTAGCATGTCTCGTTGACTTGGATGGATCCAGATTTGTCGATACATCTTCTCTATGTCTGCTGTCAGAACGTAAGTGTGAATCCTGAATCTCAATAGGATAGAAAATAAATCATCTTGAAGAGTCGGACCAACCATAAGCGAGTCATTCAGAGATATCCCTGTTGTAGTTTTTGCTGAAGCATCGAAAACTACTCTTAATTTAGTTGTTGAACTGGCTTCCTTAATAACTGGATGGTGGGATAAATAATACACTGGTTTGTCAGTTTCATTTGCAGTAACCTTTTCCATGTGTCCAAGTTCCTCATATTCATGCATGAAGGATTTGTATTGTTTTTGCAGTTCACTGTTATTTTTTAATCGTCTTTCAACTTGATAAAATCGTTTGATTGCTAATTCTTTGGAATCTCCTAAGGAACTTGGATCTTGCTTCAGAGGCATTTTGACAGTGTAGCGCCCATCATCGCCTCTTTGAACTGAATTGTCATACATTTCTTCACATAGTTTATTTTCTGATGTCATTGTCGCCTTTTTTATAGGTTCTTCTTCAATTTTCCAGAATGCTTGAATATTCTTATCAAGGCTTTCCAGTGTAGTTAGATGACAAGACGTTTCAGTTGATGACTTTTGATGGTGTACTTTGCCTCCAACTATCCAGCCGAGCTTTGTGTTCTGAAGTACTGGTGAATTTTGATTCTTTATCCTTCCATCTTCCAAAAGATCAAAGAAAAACTCTTGTCCTAACAAAATATCAACTTTAGATGGTTTGCAGAATGTGGGATCTGCCAAAGTGATAATTCCAGGGATATCCCATTGACTTGTATTAACAGTGTGTGTTGGAAGTAACCCTGTTATTTTAGGAAGAACCAAAAATGTTGCAGTTGCTTTGTAATTAGAATTTCTTGACTGAAATGTTGCTTGTACCTTGTTTGTAGTTTTAGTTGTTCCTTCGTTAATACCTGTTACTAATACATTTGAATTTTCTTTCTTTAGTTTTAACCTTTGGCAGAGATTTTCTGTCATGAAGTTAGATTGGCTGCCATTGTCTAAGAATGCCCTGCACGTGTATTTAATTCCACTCGGACTTATAACATCCACCAATGCTGTAGATAATAAAACCTCTCCACCTTGGAAATTAGTACTTAGACTTGTTGTAGTAGTACTGGTATTTAATGCGTCATCACTACTTCCCTGCTTGTTGTTAAATGTAGCAGTTTTCTTTGGTTGTAATGATTTAAGCCTTGGGTCTGATGTGTTGTAATGAAGTGCAGTGTTGTGTTTCTTATTACAATGCTTACATCCTCTAGAATTGCAATGTTCTACGCGATGGCCCGGTTTTAAGCAATTAAAACAGAGTTTTGCTGCTGTCAATTTGCTTAATCGTTCTTCATGAGAAGCCTTAATAAGTTCGCTGCATTGATACACAGGATGGTTTCCATCGCATATGAGGCAGATGGATTCTTTGACAGAAACATATGTTTTCGTGTTTGATTTATGAGGATGAGCCAAGTGTTGTCTTGGATGGGCAGGTTTGTTATGGAGTTGAAATGACGTTGAGTTAGTGTGAACAATGCTGTGGTTGACGTTTTCTAACATTTGACATCTTTTTTGTAAAAAGTCTGTAAGTTCCTTTAAAGTAGGAAGTTCATTTGGTAGGGTTGAAAGTTCCCACTCCTTATGTGTGGATGTGTCAAGCTTTGTAGTAATGAGATGGACAATGAATGGATCATTTTCATTAATCTTTATCTGTAACCCTTCTAAAGCCCTGATGTGAGTTAGAGTGCTATTTAGTAGGTGCCTTAAGCTTGTTGGGTTGTCCCTTTGTACGAGAGAAAGCTCAAAGAGTGATCTTACATGTTGCTGTACGATAAGCCTAATGTTTTGGAACTGATCTTTAAGTAAGCTTAAAGCTACGTTGTAGTTAGAAGCTAATAGCTCTAAGTTCTTTATTACATTAGCTGCATCACCAGTGAGTGCAGCTTTTAGGTAATGCAACTTTTGGACATCATTTAAACTTTCATTTTTGTCAATTAATGCTGAAAAGGAATCAAAGAAGGGCATCCATTCATCAAACTTCCCAGAAAAGCTTGGTAGATTTATGGTTGGTAGTCGAACTGAAATGGACGAGTCTGAGGACTGTGTACTGTTATTTGAATTAGAATTGTGATTAACAACTACGTCATTTTGTGGTGGTGGACACGTGTGTTGTTCAATAAAGTTAGCTATTTCTGCACAAAGCACATAATATTGCTGTTCAAACTCATCCCTTTCAGCTTCATGATTCAATTCTGAATCTGAATCAATATCTTCAATCTTAGATTGCACATTTTCAAATCTACCCAACTTCCTTCTACCTTTTGTAGCCTAAGTTGTAATTCTTTTACATGCTGACTTCCTAAACATTTATCAAAAAAGTTTTTACATCTTGTAAGTTTAGCCTTAATATTACTTCTAGCTTTCACTAATTGTTGTAACTGATCTTGCTTTGGCATGGCTTGTTAATGTTCAATAAAACTTGAATAAATGTACAACTGAATAAATATTGCAAAGTTTGTAAGTAATTTAAATTTACCTTAAGGTCGTGGTCTTATCGCGGGGTGAAGGACCAAAATGTACAATGTCGAGTGTCCAACATTGTTTGTATTAAAAACTGCATGAAATCATATAAAAAATGAAACTTTATTTAACTTATGACTTGCTTGTAAAACTTTAAAAAATACAATACCTACTGTTTTTGTTTGTGTTTTTACAAATATAAATTCAATCATATGTTAATTTACAAACAGTCTGTTAGGAGATTGAACATTAAGTTTTGTGTAGGCTATCACATTTTACACGAATGGGGGAGCGAGTTAGTCAAGTAGTAGAGCGTGGGACTTCGTTTCCTCAGGTCCTGGGTTCAAATCCGCCAAATCACCAATGGATTTTATCGAAGTCGTTAAGCCGCAACCTATAGTTATACCCTGAAGTAATGTGAAAAACGTTTCCGGGCGTCCGGCAAAAACAAATTTTACACCTACTCCTACAGATACTCATAGATCAACGAGAATGTTATGTTGCTCAAAAAGTGAGCGTAATTCTATATATATCTCAAAAGTTTACTACTTAGACTAATAAACACATATTCCCGTCTAGGCAGTTATACAGTCTAATTGAATAATGGTTGTGATGTCACAGATCACAGTGAATTAAAATATGTCTTTGGCGATGTGTGGCCCAATTGTTCTCTTTTGTACTTTTGGATTCATTCAGAACATTGGTGGTTTGAGCCAGACCGCCTATATGTATACTGTATATTATTACAACAATCAACATTGTTGTGCATGTACAGCAACGGCAGTTCAGTGGTTTCGAATACCAAGACACAGACCAGTATATGGTGACGGTGATTTGGAATCGTAATAATAGCCTAAATAAGGAATGTGCTCCTGCAATCATTGAAGTATTCTTTTAAAAGTAATACAAAAGAAATGTTTCAAAGAATATTTTGCGCTATACATTTGGATTAGATCATTGAATATAATATGCGAATATAAAACAATAGTAGTACAATCCCGTAAATATAGTGCCGTTACGACAGTTACGTACACTACTCTACCTTTGACTGTTTTTTAATTACTAACAATCACTACTCATAACTTCTAAGAGAGATTATGTTTTCGTTTATAACCTCTTATTGCCACTGTCAGTGATGTGACTCATTGTACCAAACACTAATTGCTCCGATCATTAACAAATTAATTGGTATTAACAGCTGATTATTTGAGTTTCGAAGCATTACAATGTTACTTCTTTTCTCTCAATCCTTAAGTCTCATTGGTCCGTTACCCGTGTTGTTAAGTAAACAATGCTGTTAAGTGAATCTCTTCAATTCTAAGAACTGGACTGAAACGGCTTGTTTAAAAAACGGTCGTAGGTAAAGCTATTTTTTATATTTGACGTAATAAATAAACAAACCTTACTGCCTTAACACTCTACAATAACGACATTCTGAAATCGTGCAATTATGTGGCTAATATTATCGTACATCCAATACTCGGAGAATTTCTCTCATTGACCACACGACACAATCCATCATAGGCTGGTATGTAGGGTTTAATTTTTAATTCCTCACTTTCATCGGCATTAAATATAAACGCTGTAAGTTAAGTATAATGACTGATAACGATGTGAGGTGAATAACGTAAAAGAACAATTAGCAAATAGTTTATGACGGGGATGAAAAATGAAGTATTACTTGATATTTCAATCTAGTAATGGTTTTTTCGAAAAACTTAATGCTATATTTATTATGTTTTTGCTCACATACGCCTACCTAGCAGCGTATACATGTTTTTAAGTATTTTAATGGGACGGCTTTATTTTATAGTTCATGTACATACAGTTTAGAATGTACTGAAAAGGTAACAAAACATATCCAATGTATGGTTGGGTAACTTAGTGGTTGTATAAATTATAAATTAAACTGGCGTCGGTGGTTGGATTACTTAAGTATAACCATAGACAAAAATAATTAAATATAGGCCTAGACCTTCAGCTGTGCTACCGTTACCATAGGTTCTGGCGCACATCGCTGGGAGGGCATGTAGTTACGGCGTACGCGCTACGCGCGCTACCATTGACTAGTCAAAGACGCTACGTAACTACTCGGTGCTCCCAGTGGTGTGCGCTAGAACCTATGGTAACGGTAGCACAGCTGACGGTATATATTTAATTCTTGTTGTCTATGTTATAACGTTTTTGGATGGTATAATACTGGATCGAGCTATCATGGATAATTTAAGCCTTTTGATGTAAAAATTCGGACGATAGACCCAGTTGATATCTTAGTCAGTAAGAGCAGTTTACTCATATAGAATACAATTAATTTGAAATGATGAGTTCAACTTTTGCAAACATTAATCCAATCCAAACCTTCCTTCAAATTTCAAGACTTTGGATTTTTATGTTCAACATGGATTCTCCAACATTGGCTCTACCAGCATATAACAGACTATTGTAAACTATCGTGCAAATACACTCATTATAAACACTAGACAAAATTGGAATCTAAAACCTGTAACCTGTAACTGGGAACATTTGCATGCTTGTCTTATAGGGGCACAGCGGGGATAATGAGGTATTGACAGTTGTGTTGTTGTGGTTAACATGGTTAATTACATGGCAAGTGACACGCCCGCATCGGGTACAACTTTTAGAGTTTTTGTCGAGAAAACGGCTTCTGAGATATAGGGGCGTCAAGGAAGGTGCTGTAGTGGAAAATATGTTGTGAACGTAAAATAGGCTAAAACGTGGTATAGAAGTGTTGGCTAACGGTCAAGTCAGGGGTGGTGTTTAGTTAAATGTTTATAATTAATATTTTTTTTTTTATGTTCCAGTATTTAAAATCAAACGTAAGTAGACTCATTCTTGCATTCCCACACCAGTCCATGGTATTATCACATCTTCCAGATATTTTAATGAATCTTAATCGTAACTAAGAAACGAAGATGACCTACCGATCAATATTTGACCTATTTTAAGAATACGGTAATAAATGGATGTACAGTATCACCCTTTAAACCCCAGTACTTCTTTCCTCGTGCATGCTTCTCCATTTGTTAAAACCGACTCTTCTAAAAGGAATATACTTTTAAAATAAACTCATGAAAACATAGTACAAAAAAAGACTTCAATTTTATTCAGAAACTAGCTCGCCAGACAGACGTTGTCCTGTCCTAATGTGGTTTTATGTCAAATG